CAGTTGGCCTCGATGATCCTAAAGGTCTTTTTCAATGAAAATGATTCTATGGTTCTAAGGGGTCATGAGCAGAGGCAGAAGCATCGGCACTTGTAGGGACATAATGAGAACTGACCCAGAGAAGCTCTTGTTTCCCTGTGGATTGTGTTTATATCCTTGTTGCTCCAGTGTGCCCAAACTACTATTTAAACACTGGTTCGTTTTTATTTTGCTCTCTATGCAACCATGTAGTTGCCCTGAGAATTGTTTCCACTTGTGCAATCTCCATGTAGGCTTGTCATCCTGTTTTCACTGGAAAGCAACCACTTCCTAAATGCTCTGTGACTTGGGCTGGGGTACACATCTTAGGTCCATGAGGATCTGTAGAAATAGGTCCATGACTTCAGGGTGGTAAGGGACAAATCCTCAATGGACTTAAACCATGTAGCTCAGTCTTTGCCCTTCCAGAAGAATGGGAAGGAACTTAGTCAGCCCTTCCACATGATAAGGCCAGAGGAATGTTTAGCCACATTTATTTTCGCTCTTCCCTTAACATGAGGTAAAACAGGTAAGAAGCCTCTTTCGTTGCCTGAGCCTGTCTGCCTCCTTCATGCTTAGGTTGTCACAAGCTAGTGGAACGGTAGCAGGGCAGGGATCATCAGCTGAACACACAGGGTCTCAGGTATTTGACTTGCAAATTTGCAAAAAAGCAAATAGATGAAATCTGAACTAAAATGACTTGTTAGGAACAGGCAGTCTGCTTGCGAAAGAAAGGGAGGTACAGAAAATGCACCAAAATCACAAAGTAAAATAATCCTACAAGAGAGCACCAAGCTATTTAAAAATCTGATTTGAGCTTCACAGTTAATGATGGAGGAAGCTGAAGGCAGAATATGGAATGCAAGAATTCAAGAAATGGTAGAGAAAAGACCACAGAAGTTGGGAGCGGTAGGGAAAATTTTTGAAGCAAACGCATTGGAAGTATTGTACATTCCTGGAAATAAGTCAGGGATCCGTCATGGCATTCTGCTGTTGAAAAGCATGGAGAAAAGGAATTGTCCCCTGCTCTGAGGCAATTCTGTTCTTGTCAATGTGACATAGCTGTAGTAAACAGTTCACAAACTCAACTCACCTCTTTAGCCACCCTCTGTCTATCCCTACATCACCAGAAGTTTTACCTCCTTACGTCAGTTGCTCCTTTCCCTCTACATATCGCTGTTCTTGGCATGGTCCTACTTCTCTTTATGGCATAGCTAAGTGAATTCTTAATAGTCCATTGTACATCTAGCTTAGCTCCCATCCTTACTCCGCAGCAGATACTAATGCTTTCATACTGCTAGTTTTCAGCATAATTGTCTCTAGCGTTAGCTCGGGACACAGCAATGACGTATGTTCCAGCTTGTTGGCAGAATGGGATCTGCTCTTTCCCAGAAAGACAGGTTGGTCCCCAGCCTGCAAGTGCAGTGCTGTGTCCTCTGTGCATCTGGTCTTTAAACCTAAACTAAGGGAGAGTTAATGCAGAAATAAGTACATAGCAGCTAAGTTGGCTGTTAAGGAGGTTAAGAGGGAATCTGTTTGAAACACCAGGCAAGCCAGATGGAACCATCCCTCTACTGACAGTACACTCAAGGTGTTTTGTTTCAAAGCAACTCAAAGAATTTCTTTGCATTTTTTGTGAGATGGTTCTGAGTAATGAGGATGGAGGAAAGCAATGAAATTCCATTTAATCCCACGGTTTTATTTTTCTTGGTGATACCACTTGTTTTCTATGCTGAATACACTTAATCTTCAAAAAATAGTTGCCAAGGTATTATATCCCGAAGATGCTGGTTTTGTTTGATACTTAGCTTGTGCTGGGTGTGAAGTGGTTAACTGAGCAGTTATTCTATCTTGCAAGTTATGGACATCTGTCTAGGAGAGTTAATAAATTAGCTTTCAAGGATGGTCTTGTGGTTAAAACGCTGGGCTGAATCTCAGGAGAATCTTTATTCAATTTTTAGCCCTATCTCCAATTTACTGTGTGACCTTGGGCAAGTCATTTATTTTCTGTGCCTCTCTTCCCCAGACATCTGTTTATTCCCTCCCATATTTTGTTTGTCTTGTCTATACGGATTATAAGGATTTCAGGACAAAGACCCATTTCTCATAAGGGAGGGCATTCACACCATCTGCTACAGAATAATTTAAGCATCCAAGTGAGGTGTTTTGAATGTCTCTCCTGGAAGTGTTTATCTCTCTTCATTGCTCCTTGCTATTACAGGTGAGCAAATACTGTGACTACACCTAGCTTTGTGAATGGTGTCTAGCATCATCCTTGTGTTACAATACTTTGCCCCACTCCTGATCAGGGACAGTCACTAATAGCTGGGGTTTATTCTATGCCATTAGAGACTGTTCAGGTGGGCTTTGCAGAACAGCCAAGAAGTGGGTTTGTAGGTATTTATGAGAAATTTTACTAAGGATTGATGAGCCTTCTGAGAGGGGAGCATAAAAGTGCTGGCTTGGAAATATCAGGAAGCAAGTAATGAATGCCAGCGTGATTGTAAGAACTCTGAGAGTGAGCAGAGCAATGGGCTATGTCACTCATGCTTTATCTTCTGCTTTGGTTGAAAATGCTCCATGGCAGTGGTTGTCTTTCCCTTGGTGATTGTGCAGCACCTAGCACTGCTAGGTACTAGGCAATGACAGGGAAACTCAAAATTGGTGATTCTGATGAAAATAATTATTTCAGTAGCCTGTTGGTTACAAGAAGGATAGAGACAATTGATGGAAATTCTAAAAAACAAAGCTGAGATGTCTGTATATGAGTTAAGCTATGGGAGCTAGAGGAGGAATACAAAGGGACCAACAGTGTGATGGAAGACAAACCAGTCTGGAAAAATATGTGTCTATATAAGGATACAGATGGAGAAGGTGTACATCAGGGATGGAGAAGAGAATGCTGTCACAGCAAGGACATGAGATGTCCATGGGCAATAACTTTAGGTGTTTGGCTAAAGCAGAGAGGTTAGTTTTTTCACCATACCCAGTTGTCACTAGACACTCTAAGGATTACTGCACTCTAACCAATATTAAGTTATGCCACTAAATATACCATCCTTCCACTTAGGTGACCTGGCTTTTAACTTTTGAGATATATATTCCATTTCTGTGTACTCTATCTGTGAAATGAGACAAATTTGGAAGAAAACGTCTAGTAGCACAAAGATTTGGGTCTAGTGAGGTCTAATCTCTGTCAGAGTGGGGATTTGGTTGAGTTGCTGCCATTAGCTACTGTGTTCAAAATGCTGAAGTGGGCTTGGAGTATGTTAGTTTTAAAAATATGTTCTGTATTTAGTCTTTTCTCAACTTGTAAAAATGTAAAAGGCAAGAATTCGTGCACTTGCAATGCTTTTCCACTTCCTGCATGCATGTCAGCTCAATTTGGTTTCCACTGCCTCCCCGCGCCCCCAGGCTGCTCCAGCGGCTGCCCTCGCAAAGCTGTCAGTTAGAGTTAGGCTGCTCGGTACATTCCACTTGGCAGGTTGTGTTCCCTTCTGCACAACCCATGTCCCCTTTTTCTGTATCACATTAAGTAAGAACTCCCATCCTTCCTCACCACCCTCATTCACCTTTGTATAAAACCCCTTCTGCCCTCTGTTGTTGTCATTCTCCACAGGGCAGTTTTAATTTCAGAGTCATAGACACCTTTAGAGGGGATGGATCAGTGGTTTTCCTTCAGTGACCTATGGGGCTAGGTCTCCTGCAGAGGAAGCCTACAAAACTTTTGGGGCTGGAGAGCTAGCCTTTAGCCAACTGATATTAGACAGAAAGACCTGTCTCCTAAAAGCCTGAAGGGCCTTCTGCATAGCCTCTCCTGCCTGTCTTACAGAGCTGTGCAAGGTGAAGCATGGGCTTTGCTGTGTGTTCCTTCCTGTGTGATGTCCCCTTCAATTTGGTCAGTTTGCTTCAGGTTTTCTTGACAGTATTTTTCCACCTCCCTTCTCGTACCAAGTTTCATGATGGAGTCTTCATGAGGTTTGGAAGAAAAAAATACTGAAAATAAAGCCCAAGAGAAGGCAAATATAATTTTTTTTTTAGAAATTACCAGACTACAGATTTGGAGGGAATTGTAATGGCAACTTTGGGAATCTGCCTGTCTGTTTTACCTTCTTGCTTACCTGATTTATTCTGTACCATTCCTGTCTTATCTGAGTACCTGACATACAAAATCAATAACAAATAGGTGAGGTTTCCATGGATGTATTTGTATTGAAATTTCAAAGGTCACATCTAGATGGGGTGACGAAGCATTATATTAAACAACTTTTAAACTAACAATTTCCAGTCCTGGTATTTATTAGTGCAGTGTAGAACAGAGTCATGTGTCAAAAATACTCAGAGTCAAGAAATGGTATGATACTGTCTGAATTAAGTTGTTTCTCAAGGCTAATTAGTAGTGACTCAGCACCACACCAAGAGGGTTATATTGTTTCTTGTTGCAGAGGTAGCTTGGGCACTGCTGCTCTCGGAGTCACTTCATCATATCTGCAGCCTACTTCAGCAGCACTTCAGCATATCTGCTTGCTTCTCAAGAGATCTAGGAGCCAGGGGAGCTAGGTAGTCTTTACCATTACCTACTCTTGCAAGCCTGGTTGCCTCCTTTGTGGGTACAGCCTCAGAGATCTTGTCCTTGTGAGAGAATTTCAGCCTAGTGAATCAGTTTCCCAGTGGGAATGGGTTGCGTTAGAAAACGATAGCGAAGCTCTCGCAACAGAACCAGGACAGTGGCTGTACATTTCTAAGGGTAGTTGGGTGCAGTGGTTAGGAAATAATACAGAAAGACACTGTATATTTCTAAGCCTGTAGAAGTAGGAGCATATACTTCATGTTGTGTCTGCTTTTTACTTGTATTTTCCCTTTCTCCATAGCCCTATTGCTCCCTTCATCTTCACCTGAAGGTCTCTGAGAATCCCTATACCTCAGGAAACATCGCCAGCCGAGACACTGCCCCCAGTATTATTGTAGCTTCAGGTATGAAACATTTAAAGATCTCCTGTGTATGATGTGCAAACACTGACAAAATCTTGAGTTTGTCATGGGTGTGGAGGGTGTTGAGTGGGGTGTCACACCACCAGCTGGAAGAAAGGAAGGAAGGCTGTCAAACAGAAGTCCTTTTGGACCTTCAACTTGTCATGTGTTTTTTGTGGAAACGGACATTCAAACCAAAGAGATCATTTCTAGTCCTCTACTCCCATGAACATCAGATTGAAACCAGGGCATTTCAGTTGCATGTGCAGGTGTGTAGAGCTGTATGCACTGAATCTTTCATATATATTTTCTTCAGATAGAAAGTCTTTCCCTTACCTTACCCCTCTTTCTCTTCCCAAAAGTAAAAGTTCTATGATTACAAAAGGGAAATAAATACATTTACTCCACTGATTTGTCAATTCTGCTGTTTCTTATGTTGCATCACTAATCAATGCTCATCTTACAGGTAATGTAGGCACTGAACTGTCAGACAATGATATCAGCATGTTTGTTTCTTCTGATGCTGGGAACACTTGGAGACAGGTAAATGACACAGAATCACAGGTTTAAATAGTAATCATAGGAAATTGTCATAGAAGTAGATTCAAAATGTTGCTTATTTTTTGTTTCTTTTGGTTCTGAGTAGCTTTTTGCTAATCTATACAAAAGGAAAAACTTTTATTCCCTTCTGAGAAGCAGAGAGATGCACAAAGCAAAAGACTGAATATGTCATTAGACTTCATATAACAGAAAATTATTTTTATAATTCCTCTTGGAGTTTTACCTCAGTTTAACCCTGTAGCGAAGCATAGAAAAGATTAAAATATTAATATATATGGGAAGAGTATGTGTTTCCTTTTACTGTTGTACAGCCCTTGTACCAATCAAACCATTTTTCTCTTCATCTGTGATTATAATTTCCATAGAATTAGCAGTTGCACTAGTCTACTTCTCCCTCACTATGTGTGGGACTCATTTCACCTAGGTTGAGTTGTCCAAAGTTCAGTGTCCATATAAACCAGTAATTTTGCCTTGCTTTTAATGGTGAAAAAGTCAGAATTCAGTTCATCCTGTTCTGAAGCAACCTATCTCTCCATTAATTGCAGAAAGAGACTGGATGATGAAGTTAAATCAAGTGCCTCATATTTAGTGAAATTCCACCTGGTAACAAACCATTGCTACCCTTTATATGTGCTTATACTCAGAACAGGAAGTTCTATTTTTCCTATTTTCTGGATAGGATATCAAGTCATGGAGAGGAGGAGTGACTTTCCTAGACTGGCAGGTGCTGCTATATAAACCAGAGAGCAGATGTTTGCAGAAAGCCAATACAAAAAAGACACAGGAAAAGAAAAATCTTTTTAAAATATTTGATATTCTAAGAATCTAATTATTTTACAATGTTTGACCAGCCCTCATTTTTCTGTCTATATCACTTACGTGAGATAGGGCCAGATAAATGCAAACACATAAAGTTCTTCTTTAAACATAAATCTGTCACCGAACAGAGGGAAAATGTTGATCCTTGTAAAAATTCATGTTTCTAACTCTCCATTGAGCAGAGACAGAATGCATTTTCCAAGGACCTGGGAAAAGTTTAAAAAAAAAACAAAACCCAAGAACAGTCTCTATACAGTAACTTCCTTAGCAAATACCTGTCCTCTGTCATGATTGTATTAAAGAACTATGACATTTTCTTGATACTAAGGAAAATAGATTTAAATATATGCTTTTTTTTTTCTTTCCCCCCACCCAGATCTTTGAGGAAGAGCACAGTGTTCTCTACCTGGATCAAGGTGGAGTACTGGTTGCCATGAAACACACATCTCTGCCTATCAGACATCTCTGGTAATGACTGTCTATGCTAAATGACTGCTGTCCCTCTTTTCAGATGCCAGGAAGTAGGCAGTTAGGCTGCATCCAGACTTTTCTGTAGCTACAATCTAGAAAATATCAGTTAAGACACTGGCAAACATTAACACAAATAAATCTAAGAAATCCCATCAATTCCAGCTTATATAGCTTCAGTTTGGCCAGATCTGAGATATTGTCAATGTTATTCTACAATTTTCCTGGTTTACCACAACTTGACTTCTTGGGTTTGGTTATGTATGTAATATGAATCTGAATTATGTTTTTGTCTCTTACTAAGTTGCCACAGTACTCTTAATTTTCAAAATTATTGATGAACTTGTCTTCTATGTGGCAACCAGAATTTTGTTGAATAGATTCAGGGTTGTATAGCCAATAAGGCAAAAGTGTCCCTGCTAATTAGCACTCTTGAGTTTATGTGGTAGGTAGAATATAGTTTTGTGATGTTTTGCATGATTTACTTCCACTACAGTCAGCGTCATATCAGTATCGGGCACACACAACCCCAAGTCTGAGGAAACGATGAGTGGTTCCAAGCTTTCACGTAGGCCTACCACAGGGAAGACTGCTGGTCAGAAGAGGCAAAGATCTTGTGCTCCAGAAAGCTAACCTCCTTAGAATGTCTTATGCTGGGGACCCAAAAATAAGATGTTCAAAATCACTTGTTTATTTAAAAAAAATCCTAGCCCTAGGTTACCTTTTGTCCTTAATGCATCAATCTCTAACATAACTTTATTAGTTTCCACCACTTAAGTACTAGCCATGGGTTAGCAGTATGATGCCAAACAAATTTGATCCCAAAAAAGTAGCTATTTAAAGGACTAAAAATGCAGTATCCAAGATCAGAAGCAGCTTCCTGCTTCTCCATAGCAGCTGTAGTGGCCTAGAGAGTCTCTTCAAGTAAAGTAGGAGGAAAGTAAGGGAAGAAGATACTAATTCTGCTTTCTCCACTAGGTTAAGTTTTGATGAAGGGAGATCTTGGAGCAAGTACAGTTTCACATCCCTCCCACTGTTTGTAGATGGAGTATTAGGGGAACCTGGAGAGGAAACTCTCATCATGACGTAAGTGAGCATACCTTCATGTTAATGTTGATGGGAACTACACCGAAAATATCTTATGAGGGTTGTTCGTAACATAACAGCATTTCTGACTGGGGACAAAACCAGGTGCTAGCTGAAACCAGGAGTATGCAGTCTTCTGTTGCTAAATCCTCAATGTTTATTTGTGATATTATTGAGGGAGTGACAACATGGTTCCTTGCAAGCTGCAAAACCGCTATCACTTAGCTTATCAACATGAAACCTGACTCCTTAAATTGAATGTGATTTAAAGCAGAGTTACTCTGACAGATGAATATTTGAAAGAAAAATGGTGAGGTATTTTTATAGCTGTGTTTTGCTGCTACTTTTTTTTTTTATTTTAACTGAGACACAGGAAAATGAAGACATTCTTTTGTAAAAATGAATGACAAAATGTTGCTTGGAGGCTGACTCATGAAAAATTACAATTAGTTTCAACGTGTATGCTGAGCTCTGCATGGTGCATAAATCTGGATTCACCCTGCCAGAAACTGTGACATTTTACCTGAGATCAGATTTGCAAAAACAGGAGGAAAATTTAGTTTCTGTCTGTAAAAAATGGACTGACCTGTAATAAACAGATTATGTGGCCTGGAAACTAACCTGAATTAATAGAGATGTACGAAGCACGATCCCTTCAGGTTCTGATTTTAATCCATGTGGAAGGGATTCTCAACACTAACAATTGAGATATCAAACTCCTATAGGTATAACTGTCTACAACCCCATGTCAAGTCTTCTCTGTATAGTCATTTTGGGGGTTGGCATAAGTGAGAGTATCTTGATCCACAGAATAAGAGCTACATGCAATTTGTAAGAGGGTTGTAGCTATTTAGGAGCCTAAGTCTGACTTTCATTAGGTCAATCAAGTGAAAACCAGTAGGACTGGCAGTCCTAAAGCAATTAATCTCTGTTGGAAATTTGTGGGTGACTGTACCTCTGTAACTACCAGACTCCATCTGGTGCTACCTTTTACTGTATGCTCTTTCTGCTGTTTCCTGTAGCGTGTTTGGACATTTCAGCCACCGCTCAGAGTGGCAGCTGGTGAAAGTAGACTACAAGTCAATTTTTGATCGGAGATGTGCAGAAGAGGACTACAGGCCTTGGCAACTCCACAGCCAGGTGAGAAGAAAGGAGGCTGGGATCTGACCTGAGGTGGTCATACAGTTAAAATCAACATGATCCAATGTCTTTTCCTGTTAGGTTGGTGTATTGGATTGTCCCTTACTGGATGGGTCTGTTTTGTTACGTAGGCACGTTGGCCTCAGGTTGCACTCTCTGAGCCCCAAAGGATGAACAGCTGCCTTTTGGGTTTCATTCTCCAGGCAGGCAATTACCTCAGACTTATCCAGAGCTGAGGAATGCAACAGCAGAAGCATTGCTGCTGAAAGAGGCCTGAACTCCTTCAGTCTTACATCTCCCATCCAATTTCCCTGTCCTCACCTCCTTTATTTTTCTCCATCCTTCTGTGTCCTCAGAGCCAGTGTCTTAAGACCCTTCTAGTTGCTTCCACAGTTGTTTCTCCAAATTCTTGCCCTCTTAGCATCATTTCTTACTTTCTTCCTTGTCCATTCTCTCTCAGCTGTGATGCTTCTGCAGTGGGAGTCAGGTACTTTATTCCTTAGTCCATTGGGCCCCCATGCTCTGTACATCTGCATCCTTGTACCCTGGATGCAGCAGCCGCATCACTCCTGGAACCATTGTTTAAGTGCCAGCAAGGTAATGTGCTCTGCACAGTGCCTGTGCCTGCCTTGGGGCACCTTCCCAGCTCTGTCGAGTTTGACAAAACAGCCTGTGTTATATCAGGTTAGAATAAAATATGGGCCAAATTCTGTGGTTATATAAACACTACAGGCTCCACTAAAGTGTAAAGCGAGAACACTCATTTATATCATCAAAGGTTGTCTTTCTGTATATATCTCACTGGGCAAGAATTTAATAATGAATATGAAATTAAAGTAGCTTGACTCAGATGAACTGCTCACACAAGACACAACTCCACTAAAAATACTTGTTATGATTTAGATCCTTCGATGTTGAAAATCAATACTGCTTCCTGAATTTCAAGGAGGCACAAACATTTTACACTAGTTGCCATTTGGACCCTTCTGTTTCATGGACAAATCAAAGCCATTAAAAGTTTCTCTTTCCTACAGCGATTTTAACAGCACAAAAAGTAACAAGTGAAACCCCTCTGTATTTTGTTCTTTGCTTTCTTGTGCTTGCATAAGCAAAAATGCTAACGCTTTTGCAGCATATCTTTGAGGATGTTGGCTCTGGAGCTTGCAGAACTATTTTTAGGAAGGTTACTGTGGACTCTTGCCTTTCGATTTGCTTTCCATTGAGATTACAAGGCTGAGCCTTGTTCCTTAGATAGAAATATTTAGCAGGGTGCTGAAGATAGGAGTGAAAAGACAAGGAAAGGTTATCATCCATATAACAAGTCAAACCCTGTAAAACCTGAACTCATAGCCCATGGAAAGTATTTACATATACATATATTGCTAGTTTCCACTGAACAAAATTATTGCCAAAGAGATCAGACCAAGAAATAGACTTGCTCTGTGTCTCAGATTGCAGAGGGATCAGACTATGTTTCAGCTGCTGTGAAACCTATCTATAAATGAGAAATAGGCCTGAATCAATTTCTCATTGGCTTTGGAACAAATTCAGAACTGAATCAGATACATAAGTAACCTCAGATCATTTCTTAGTGTGTATTGGAAAAGCTGGTTTAGTTTCAGTTAAAGCTTCGGTAGCTTTAATTAGCTTCAGTGTACTGACACGGTATTTGACTTCCCGTCCTCTTCTCTTGAGTCACAGCTCCCATTGCACAGGCTTAGAAAAATTGGGTGATACAAGTAGCCTGGTGGGTGTCAGAGAAAGATATTTTTGGTTTTGTTTCTAGGGAGAAGCTTGCATCATGGGAGCAAAACGGATCTACAGGAAGCGCAAGTCAGAGAAGAAATGCATGCAAGGAAAATATGCTGGGGCGATGACCTCGGAGCCATGCGTGTGCACAGAGGCAGACTTTGACTGGTGAGCAATGAGCACAAGAACTGTGTGCTCTCTACCACACCAATGCAGAGCTTGCTAGAGAGGCTGTAGGCTTGCAGAGAGTAGATATTAATAAACATGTAACTGGCTGAACAGGTTGCTCCCTGATGCTGCAGGTATGTCAAAAGAAAGAAAGATCGAATAGATATCTGTAATCTGCTAAGGCTCCCACAGAATTGATTCTGAACAGACTCTTTTCCAGGTGACATCTGAGGTCTCTGCAGCATTAAGATAAAAGTTCCATTTACACATCTAACATCAGCAATGACCAGGGATGGCTGTGAAAGCAGTATGTAAGACACATAAAAATAAAATAAATTCTTCATAAATATACATATACACATATATATGTGTAAAAGTAAATATATGCATATGCAAGGTAGGCCTTCAGCTTCTGGAAATCAAGTATCTAGGGAATTCCTGGGTCATTTGTTATACATGGACCATCATGTTTGATAGTATCTAACAGACAGTGCCTTCATGATTTGGGTTCATCTCCTTCTGAAGCTTTTTCTCATCTGCTGTCTGCTAGGAAATAGAGTCCATTGGTGAGTTATGAATGGCGTGATAAAATGTTTGGCTTCTACTTTCATTTCAAGATTCCTGAGCAATTTGCACAAAAAAGGCAGAGAACCACATTATTGAAATCTCTCTATCACCTGTTTTCTCCAAGTCTGAGACAGTCCTGAGTTATCCCAGAAGAGAGAAATGGTGGCTCTTTGGCAGTGCTGATAAACCCCCTTTGTGCCTCACCAGCTACATCTATGCTATGTTAACATGTACCCTGAAGAGGTTCATCTCATAAATATTTTGTTTCTTGCTATATGAGTTCACTCCAGGACCATGGAAATTTACAGCATTTCCCTTCTCACCCTCCCATAACTATAGTTACATTGATTTTTCTATATAGAGTCACAGAATCACAGGAGACTTTTCCATGTGTCAAAAAAAGTAAATCATCTTTCACCACATAATAAAAATTATGAGCATACTTGGGCACTGATTCTCTGAATATGGTTTCCTGATGATTTCTCTATCTTCCAGTGAGTTCTCTGTTGGGGAGAAGATACCTCAGTTCTGTGTGTAGTTCATCGTGTAGGTGCCCAAAGGTCCTGGATTTCAGCTGTTTAACATACCTCTGGTAATGTAAAAAAGCTAACCAGAAAAAAAATGCATAGGAAGAAATTCCCTGAAGATTTTGACCTTCCTACAGGGCGTGCAGTACAAAGCTGTGCCAAGCTTGAGCCCAGGCTCGTGAAAATAACTGATGGGATTGACTCATGGTCAATCCGTTAGTGGTTAAACCCCTCACACTCGTAAGGGACACACACTCAGGCAGCACTTCTGATCAAAATATGCTTTCATTCCATAACTTGTCACTTTCTAAGAATGCATGTTTTTATTTCATTAAAATTGATTGTATGGTTTGCTACTACAAAACTTTGTTGCTAGGTACAGAACAAAAGTACCATGGTGACATTTGCTGGGGGAAACATGCTTTTATTTCTTTTACATTCACTTCAAGGAAACTTTCTCCAAAAGGTCTGCTGGGTTGTGAGAGAATCTCTAAGAGAAAGCTTGTATGATTGGGGATGTACGAGAGATGTTCACATTTAACACACTCAAGAAGATTCCTTAAATCTATTGGAAGAGGTAGAATTAGGACTTTGTGAAAGTCATCTTGTTAAAAGAAGCCTGAGAAAAATACCCTTAAAAATACTGCAGGTCTCTGCTGAGCAGGCTGATAGAAAGCCTTCCTGACCTAGGAAGGCCTTCCTCTTGATGGAACCAGTTTTGGCTTAGAGCAGACTGTTGTGATCCCCTCCAATTCTCTCTGAGCTCTTGATATTCCTACAGTCCTCAGGTCTGAATTTTTACTTTATCCATTTCAGCTTCCTTCCCCAGTGCCTCTGAGGAAAAAAGACTGAAACATTGCTTTAAGTATTCAGTTCAGAAATATTTACCAGCAATATTCATCACTTATTTATCTACTTAATACAGTCAGGAGTATAGTTATAAATAGATTTACCAGAGAAGGACAGAAAAACCACAGGCAACAGGAGACAGAGGTTTATCAAGGAAGGAGAAAAAGAGATGGCAAGAGAAAAGCAATTCTGCTGGCTCTCCTGAATTTCTCAGCCCAGTTTTATTGTGCTAAGAAAGGCAAAGCTGCTGCTGCTGCACTGTAGCATTCAGTGCCTCTTTGGACTCTGCACCAGGCTTTGCTGCTGATGCACCCTGCAGAAGCTGGTCCAAAGAGACATGTGGAGGAAAATCAGTGAATGAATTCTTGCTGTGGAAGGATGTCCTCTGTGAGGTCCTTCCTGCAAAAGGAGGAAGCACTTTCATCATCCTCATTCATGACATTTCATCAGTGCTTTTGAATTCTGTATTTCTCTTTTTGCTGGGCAGGACTCCTAATTGAAGGAGGTTCAAGGGGACGTGTATCCCCCAGGCAGGGAGAAGCCCCTTAGCTGACTGCACTTGATTTTGCAGTCTTGAAACAAACTGGGTGGCTTTTTATATTAACATCAATGGTCACAGGACCCAGGCTTGTATACAGAATTAAAGAAGAGAACAATCCATGTCCCATTTAAAGCAGGACTTACTTTGTTGTTTAGACACTGAATTTGTATGGAGAAAATTTCATTATCTCAGCTTGTCAGAGCTTGGAGTAAAAAAAAAATAAAAATCTGTGTGGTCCCGTAAAGTAAAAAAAAAAAAAAAAAAAGTGTTATTGCTGTTAATCCTGCAAGTGCTTTTTTTTATCAGTTTAGGGGAAAAAATGCCAGTTACAAAAGACATAAAGATTTTATGTTTTTTTCTCCTGGTAATATCATAGAACTCCAGGTTCATTTCACATCTGTATTCAGCCCATGGTAGTTCTTTCTCAGAGAAAAGGGCACATTTGTTTATTGTTTTACACAGCAACAAAACCGAGTGACATTAGAAATGACTGTAGTTTCTCTGGCCTTGGGAACCCGAACTCTTCTGATAGTAGACATCTCTCATCATGGGCTACGAGCAGAACGGGCTGGGGACAGGGCTGAAGCGGCAGGTGCTTGTGCTCCGTGCAGGGGCTGAGGCTCACAGCCAGAGGGCAATAGTGCTTCAGGAATTGGGGGAGTGGAAATGCGCGGAAGCCCTCGGCAAATCTGTCCTAGCAACGGCCTGGAAACGAGATTGTCCTTCTTCATTTAATTGATTTGGGTAAATGGATGGCACCGTTACTTGTGTGTTATTAAAGCATTAATTTACCCGGTTTCCTTACATTGTGTTCCTTCCTGCCATTTGAGCATTATTACGGCAATATCTCTTCAGTAGAAACACCTCCCAGACACAGATGGAAAACTTTGGTGGTGTTCATCCTTCAGCTACCTGTCTCCCTGGTTCTTTAATAGAAACTTTGAGTTAAGTGTCGCACTGTCAGTCCTCCCTCCGAACCCATTGTCATTAATACTGAAGGCTTCTCCCATCGGTATTGCCATATCTCACACCTTTGTGGGAAGTACGAGCCTGTTGACACTGGTGCTAGTGACTTTGGATAGCCAGAGATGCACAAAGGAGCCTTAGTGCAATTGAGAATCAGGCCTATTTTTATTTCACTGATGATATCAGCGAGGATTTGGCTGGCTCTTTTTTTATTGTCTAGCACTTAAATTACAGACCTGCCTGCTAGGTTTGGTTCTTGTGCTAAAACAGAGTCCTGCATCATGAGAAACTGTTCTGAAAAACCGTGGGGAGGCAGAAGGCAGATATTGAATGTGATTAGACTCTGTGGGCTTCACGTGTTACCACCCACTACTTCAGGCGATCATGCAAGTGCCAGTTCTGAAATACACATGCATTTGCACCCTTAGGTTAACTAACTTTGCTTTATAGTTGAAAAAAGCTTGGTTGGCTAATGAATAGTAATTTTGAACGAGTTTTTAGTTCATTTTGAATGCATGTGGAAAATGCAGATTTACTACACAAAGTCTACAGTGCATCTCTGCATCTTTAAGGGCCTAGATGTCTACCAGGCATGGATTTACTGGAAAGATTCTCGGGATTTTAGGTTCCTTATTATCATAAGCTAGTATGGCTTGTACTCCCAATACTGTGATGCAATTATAATCATATGCCTTCATAGATCCATAATTCAAACTGCAGCTGAATCCATCCTTCTGTGAGATAAATCCCAAGTCAGATCCTGTATTACTGGGAAAGCAAGCACAACTCCCCCTCAACAGAAATCTACACTTATACCATGCTTCAGTATTAGACAATGATATTAAGAGAAAGAACAAAAATGGTAAGACTTTACCACAGCTGTGGTCACAGTAAATTTTTTCCACAAGGGCTTTTGAAAACTGTAGAACAAAGGTGACTATAATCACAGGTACCTTGATTCCACCCCATTTAATGTCTGAAAAGTTAGCAAAGCTGAGCATACAAAAACACAAGTAACATTTTCAGTTTCTGGCATAGCTGACCTTAAGGCGAAGCTGTTACTGTTAAGGAAGTCCTGTGGTTACATGTTGAGTCATGTCTTGATTTTTAGAAGGTTTGAGCATGGCAGTTATTCCTATATCTTAAAACAGTGGGGTTTTAATAATTTCACGTGAATTTACAGTTCTTCCAAGGCAATATGTTTGTCAGGTCCATATTCAAACTATAAACTTCCTTAAGGGATTCCTTTTCCTTTGATTATTACCTGTGCTACAACTAATCTTAGATAGGGAAATTCACCATGAGCTTTGAGCAGGGATACAGAACTTTTGGAATGAATTCATATTTGTCTCTAATTACAGAGAAGGACTTGCAATCCTACTTGACTAAGACAAATGGGGTTCCAGTTTAAACCAGTAAAGGTGGCTAGCATAAAACCATCATCAGTAGGAGCCAGATGATAGGCTGCTTCATACTGATAAAACAATCCCTGCTGGTAAATGCTCTATTCTTTTGATAGGTACATTATCTATTTCACCTGAGTTCTTTTCAGGCAGGCAGAAAATATCATCAATATATGCAAATTCCAATTCCCAGTTACCAGGCAATGACTCGGCTAGTTGATTGCAGTCTAAAGCTGATGCCTTTCCTGTCTCCAGATTTTGCTATACTGGCTCGTGCTATGGCAATCCAATTGATGCTAATGCTTGTTGATTGCTACAAAGCCTGTTGTGCCAAATTGTAGGCAGCAATTTGTTGTCAGCATCAGTGTTCTGCGTGCACCAGCCTGTAGCCAAGGAATTCATTAGATTCTAAGACTGCGGAGGTGAACGGGCGGCTGGTGCATCTGTAGAGAGATATGGAACAGCAATTCATGTCGTTTACTGGGATGATATTTCTGTAGGGCCTTAATGAGCCAGATGATTTGCAAGCCTGAAAATGACGCTGTGAAATTTCTGTGCTTAGAACTATTTCTGCTGTGGAAAATCTTATGATTTGCATTCTTTTGACTTTGAGAAATATGATCTAAGTGTAGTCAAACGTAGTTAAGTTGATCTTGTCTTGTCCAGATGTGCAGGTACTAACAGGAACCAAAATTATGGCATGAGTCTAGATGCATGTATAGTAAGAAATCCCAGACTGACACTACTGCGTCAGATTGGACTGTGGGTACTGATCCCCTCTGAGGCAGATTTCACTGTATTATTTTGTTTTGTTTTCACGTAACTGATTACAGAACGTTGTGTGTGTACAGTGTTACAGCTTTTTAATTAGAGTAACACAGGATAACTTAGGAATACAGTGCTGCAGAGTGTTGACAAATGAATTACAAAAATAAAGGAGTCCCACTTGTATGTAAATATTTGTTTTCTCTAAGCAAATCAGAATGGTGTTATTTTTCATTATAAAGTGTATTCTGCAGCTATAGTGTTCCTATTCCAACAAGGATGATTAGAGAAGCACATGGCAGTGGGAGAACAGGCTGGCTGATGCTTCCAAAGCAATTAAGCAACATTCAGTCACTAGCATCTGAGTAAATAGATTGATGAAAATTCAATCAAAAAACTGAGGAAAAGACCATTCAGGTCATCTACATCATTGCTGTTTCCTAGAGTATGTTCTCAATTACTTGTTTTAGACATCCCAAGCACCACATCTGCCAAAATGTTCCTTTGGAACAGTCATGCAGTCTAGCGGATGTTTAGGAGTTTTCCCAAGTGATATGCAGCTTTAATTTTCTTTTGCTTAGTGTCATCTTTATAATTTCTCTTTTTTAGATTATGTCAAAACATATTTTTTTTCCTAATTCA